ACAAACCAGTGGAGATGGTATCTGCTGCTCCTACTTGTGCAGGGCTCTTTCTGCATGCTGGCAGTCAGCACACAGGTAGTTGTAATGAAATGCTTGTCAACTGCAATCACTGGTGCATATGTGCATTTGAAAACACAAGTCATTTATGCACTCTGTTGAGACCGCAATAACTTATAGTGGAAAGTAACAATCTGCTAGGGATAAGCATAGGCGTAGATAAGTGAATTAAATGGTACTTTGTTTAACCACAAGACTGTGGAAATCGATGCCAAATATTTGGTGAGACAGAAACAGGCCTTGGTCCGTCTCAAAGAGCCACTCAGAGGACAGCTCTCCAAAGACACAGACATCAAGAGCCCCCATGCAGATGATGACAGCTACATGATGCCACAACACTGCAAAGACCATAACGGCCTGTGTCAGATGTTCTTATGTCGGGCGGCCCAGACAGGCCGTCCAGACATTCCTTATGGGAGATTTCTGTTTCTTTTTGTCCCTTCTCTAGTCTAGCGCACATGTGACTTTGATTTGCATTAAAAAAATACACATATATTTCATACATTTTTCAAAAGAGACCTAAAACCCTTTTCCCCTTTAAAGAGAAAATGCAATTTCCAGTCACAGAGACTGTAAAGGCTGCATGGATAAACTGCTATTGTCAAATGATTGCCCTACTTTGGTTCATCCAGACTTTACAAGTAAAATCCTGGTACTCACCCACATACATTCCATTCTCCACCCGCTTGATGATGTCGAAGGCGTTCTCCACGTTGCCCTCGAGGATGTCAAACTTGACATCGTAACTGCTTAAGTGATAGTCACCGTAAGCTGGCACCGAGGTTCTCAGGAAAACAATCTCTGTTGGAAGATAACAATTAGACAAAAAAGTTTTGGAGCATAAACGCTCATAATCACTCTGGGATTGCATCGCCAAGCCAGTGCCAACTCTTGCTTTTCTTTTTTTCTTTCCAAGAGAAAGACAATAAAATGGTCTGTGTTTATTGTACACTCAGAGGGTCACTGGAAGGTTGAGGCTTTGCAATGCTGTTGTGCAGCTGAAGAGCCTCGAGTCCCTTGCACCCCAACTCAGAGTTTATGAGAAACGACAAGAGCTTAACTCTCCGTGACGTTGAGCATGAGTGTGTCTGAAACATGCAGTGTATGCCAGCCAATAGATGCTTGTCAGCTGTCATTGTCTGCGAGTGATTACCGCCGTTACTCATGTCCAACAAACATGGCTCTTTCTCTCTGGTGTAGGCCAGCCAAGCCCGGATTGCATGGAGAACATCATGAAATAACTTATTTAGAGGTCAGTGGTAGTCATGTGAATTCTGACAACTGCAGTGAAATGCATTTGAGATTAATGGAGATAAAGTCAAGTTGGAGAGATAAAAATGGCTGAGAAACACATTGGTACAAATAAAAACCCAACAACTTATCATGCTGTCAGCAAATCTGTTGTTTCCCATGATTTTAACAGGACGTTATGTCCCAATAAAGCTTCAACTATTAACCTTATTGGATTGAGGGTTAACAGGAATTTTTTAAGGGGCTTAGATGATCAGCAATATAAAGTAAGCCTTGTGTTAAAAGTTTGACATTTTGGGAAGACCATTGGGCCTTACCACTTTTATATCTGTAGTAGGGCATAGTGGCATACAGCAAATATGAAACTAAAACAAGCAGATGGTTAGCCTAGCATAGACTGGAAAGGTTGAGCTAGCCTGTCCAAAGCGGAACATTTGTCAGTCTCTTTATGGCTCGTGAATTCACATGGAAATTGTTTCTTTTACACTACTTCTGGTCTTTGTCTTTGTTCATTACGTTACGGCAGAGTCAAGCTAACTTTTGTATTATCTGTATGCTAAAGTAAGCTAACCGGCTGCTAGCTTAAGCTTAATAATTGACCTAAACATATGAGAGTAGTTTCTAATCTAACTCTCTGCAAAAAGATATACAAAAGGAATAACTTTATTTCCCAAAATGTCAAAACTATTCTTTTAAAACTTGTCACCAACAAACCTTTTGTTAATGAAACTTGAATATATTTAGTCTCTTTTTATACTTTTGCTGCATGTTTGCATGTTAACCCAAAAGTCCATTATTAGTATGCATTTAAACCATGCTTTGTACCTACCCTCTGGCTTTGTGAACTCTCTGAAAGTGGGCATGGAGATGAAGGTGTGGGACACTGAGTGCATGGGGTCCAGGACACAGGCGACGTCATTGGGCTGACAGGACTTTACACAGCGAATGGTGTCAGAGCGTTGAAGCCTCGCCACTCTAAAGGACAGAACAAACATACACACCCACAAAAGAAAACACAAACACACACGTCCTCTGACCTTTAGGTAATGTCTATATTAAGACGTCAGAGTTAACCACCATTGATTTCTAAAGCCTAAAATAACAGGGCATCCTTGGGAGCGGCCCTCTGTGTAATCAAGAACTCAGTGAGGACAACAGCAATGGCCACAAACAATATCTGGACAACACAGAAGTTACTGGATACATCAGTCAAAAAAGAAATAACAATCCAATTCTGGGTGGTGCCAATAATTTCCATAGATCATGCTGAAGCCAAACTTAGTAGTTTGTGGAGACTAGCGATGCCATTGTTGCCTTTATGATGCCGTTTTCAAGCTGTGTGGGAAATGAATTACTACACTCACAAAGAATGATCCACAACCTGCTCAGGAAAATATTTGGATTTGCTGAGCATCCCCTGCTTCACATCAGATAATCTCTTGAGGAGGATTTATGGGGCAAGGGAGTGTTCTAAAAGACTCCTAAATTGTGAGCAACATGACTAGACAACTCCCCAGCCTATCCCCAGGGCAGCTCTCATCCTATTATTTAGAGCTTTGTTTATTCCACAGACTAATCAGTGACAGGTCGACGGGAATGGAGGGCCTCGGCTGGCTCCTAAGGCTAACGCCACCTGAAGTATAACTATTCACTACCTGTCTGCTACATAAGACTTTGAGAGAGGTTTCTAAGTCACTAACAACCCCATAAATCAAGGGTTTGTCTTTGAAACGATGGGAGACGCGATCATGAGAGAGCTATTGAAACTAAATAAAAGCCTTGACTTCAACATCCAAGATGTTAAATGTAAGCTTGGTTTTCACAAAGGAGACAAGTCAGTACACGGTTATATTGGGTTATGAAAACAGCCAAGTTGCCATGTATAAGACCAGTTAATGTGCATGGCAGCCATATAGCCACATTGTGAGTCATGGGCCGTGGATCACTGGCTCTCCTCAGGGGACCTATAGGCTGCAGCTCAAAGCCCAGGCACGGCTTGGGTTGCAGGGCTTCTTCCATGGTGAGAGAGGAGAGAAGCCCCTGACAAAAAGTCAAGCCACCACTGGGTAGGGGCTTGTAATTAGCAATTAGCGGGTGGGTCCAAGTTTTGCTTTGGCCCATGCCAAACCCACAAAATGGTATCTTAGTTTATAATACCACGGCCTGAGCTGCAGAAAGACCCGAGCGGGGCTCTAGAGGACAAGGTGAAAGATCTGTCTGGATAGAGAGTAGCCTACATTTACGAGAACATAATGATCCAAACTTAACTGGCCCCTTACACATTGATGAACACCTCAAAGCAGGGGAAGCAAGTTGAGCTAAATACAGGACAATACATGTATGTTTGTAGCAAAAATACTGTGCGTTTTTATGTGTATTTCTGCAATTGTTTCTGTGTGTGTGTGTGTGTGTGTGTGTGTGTGTGTGTGTGTGTGTGTGTGTGTGTGTGTGTGTGTGTGCGCGCATATTAACGTCTTATTCATCTCCCCAATGACTCAAGTGGCCCAGCCCAAGAGTAAAACCCCAATACTTGCAGACCAGAAAGAAAAACAGACTTTTTGGATGAAAGTCCTCTGGTCAAGCACAGGGCCTTTTATTTTTTTTGGTAATTATTATTTATAGTCAGCACATTGATAACGCCCCAACACAAACACTGCAGGGCATCATTCATTCTGAGCGCGGTGATGTTGCTGTACCACAAATTGTTCAGACCACCGGCCAGAGCCCAGAGCCCCATAACTCAATGTCAAAGGGGAGGAAAAAGCCTTATGTGCACCACTATGTTCTTATTTTAAGGATATCCCCAATAGGGACCGAGTGCATCCTTACCGTCCTGACAGCTCAGAACAGGAGGAACCTAGGACATCTGAATTTACAGTTATTATAAGCCACAGTCCTCGGGCTGCAGCCTCACAGCATGTCAAACTATTTATACTCTCCCCTGCTGGTGCACATTTCATTCTCTTTGCCACTGCATCCCATCGTGTCACTTACTCAGCCTTCATTTGGATTATCTGTCTGCTTTGGGGTTTATGGCCGCAGTATGGAGTGGAAATCTGTGCATTTCACATTAAGCCTAAAATGTAATGGGAGCTAAAGAGATATGTATGAAAATAACTGCCAAAGAAAGACGTATTTGCGGTGAAAGGTAACTGATGTTTCGGGAGCAGGAGTTACAATGAATACAAAAACTGATTTCCGACCGGAATTTGGAGGTGGGGGATTACTTTATAGACTTAATAAATAGTGCAATTTAACATAAATTATATATAACTGAATGGTTTGACTTATAGATGGGAAATGTGACTTGTGTGTGTTTCATGGTTGATTTAAATGACTGGCCTGGTAGGTTTCTTAGTTTACAAAAATTACAGATTGCAGAAAAACGTTCAAATCATCAGAAGACATACGTTTTAATACTATTAATAATACATTTATATATGATTTTTCCAATTTTAGTGTGTAATACAATTCTATATAGTGTATAGATGCTTGTAGCCGGGTAACTTTAACTCATATGCATTTCTAGAGATGTGCAGCACATGTATTAATGGATTTCCTCTTCACTGAGGCTGTTGGATAATAGCAATATGAAACTATGTGTTGAAGCCTTCATGCCTCCATCTGTGATTTGGCCTTGATAAACCCCACAATGCACCATCATCAAGAACTGGATTTGACTTGAACATGTGTTATTTCTATTTCAATTTTAATAGAAAACTGTTCATCCAACACATAAACCATAAAATGCTGCAAAACGTCAGACTTTATCATGCAACCATCATCAAATTACACTCAGTTGTAGGCAGACATGGGTCGTTACCATTTTATGATTTACCCTGACCTAGAACGCCACCTAGCGGCTAGCACAGCGCCTTACCTCCAAGAAGATACATTCAACTGGACCTTATTCATACTGCTAAATAAAGATCCTTATTCTAGTGTTAAAAAGTTGATTATGAGAAATGCTACAGTACTAAAACATGTGCTTATGTTTTCTGATTTAGTTTGTTATATTGTTATGTCAAATTCACTCTTTAAAAAAATGATGTGTCATCTTTAACATGAGCTTAGTGACAAACAGAGTCATATTTGGGGTATTTTTTTACAATATAGAAAAGGAAATAGACAAGGCTTGTAATTTCCCACTGTAAGTTTGTTGCTAATGTGTATAAGGAATAGTTTGACATTTTAGGAAACTCAAACTCACTTTCTTTCTGAGTGTCAGATCGAGGTTTATTGTTTCCCTGTTTTTTTAAGTGTCAGTCCACATTGGAAATATTTGCATATATTTGATGGAAAAAAGGAAATTGAATAGACACTTAAGCAAGGGATACAGCAAACATTAGGTGCCCACAGCTCATTTTGGCGCCGAGGCCATGAACCCATAGGCCAATACAGTTTTAGGCAGACCTAAACTAGTGGCATAAATCAATGAATGAAAGAAACATTGATAATCTTTAGTTATAAACATGCATACTGGACCGATAATGATCAATCATTTGGAGTTATCCATTTATAATTGCCCGGATAGTCGGCATTGCAAAACCTTGCTTTGCTATAAAAAATACTGTATGCTCATCTCACATACCTTCTGTGTTAAAAAGTCCTGTTTTCTCCACAAGACGTTGCATTGAAGATGACACATCCTTTTTAAGAGTTTAGTAACTTGTGTAACCTTTCATATTGGTTGTGTTTATTCTAGTAGGGGATTGTAAGGTACTCTGGGCTCATCCTGGGTAACAAACACCTGCACTTTAGCCATGTATGTGCTGAGCGTGCCGTAGCGACGCAGCCTCAGCTCCAGAGACAGATTGAAGTCCTGCTGCTTGTTGATGAGCTTTGCCACCGACATCACGCCGCCGCTGGGCACTTGCTCTGTCTTGAAGAACCCGCCCTCGTTGCCAGCGGTGATAACAATCTGGATTTCATCGCCAGCCACGGTTTGGGAGGGGCCCATGCGGAAGATGTTGGTGAAGACGGGGATATTGGTGGGGAAGGTGAGGTAGTAGTGGGTTATTCTCAGGGGCATGGTCAGGCACTCGTCAGACTCATTGCAAAGCAAGCGTTCACATCGACTGCAAATAGAGAAAGGGTGGGGGGGCAGGGCAGGAGAAGACAGAACAAAACAGGCACAGAGAGAAGGAGAGAGAGAGAGACCAGGTGTAAATTTAATTTGCCCGTGCATGGCATGCAGTGGAAGGAACAACAGTCTCTGCAGCAAAACACTTCACAGGCCAGTCATGGTGCCCTCTGTGGGATCATGCAAGAAGTCCTATCACTGGTGCCTGCATAGGTCATACACAGCCTCTACTGTAATTAAGCCAATGTAAAAATATCCATATGCATTTCATAATTCTGAAACAACAGAACATGCTACAGCCGGATCTTTTCCAAAGTCATTCCAGCATAGAGCATACTGGACATGCACAGCCTTGAATGACATGAATGGGGGTCGGTTTGAAAAGGCCTGACATGGTTTACTGTTGCACTCTGATCTTTCAGTAGGTTGACGTATCTGATATGGCTTTGAGGAACATGGACCTTGCTCTGTGGATGTGTGTGAGTTTTTCTGTCGATGTTGTGCCAAAGGGGCCTTATCATGCTCATTTTAGGTTTCATAATGATATTTTGTGCCTCTACTGTCACATGTTTACATGATGTATTGTTCAAAAAGGTCTTTATTTTTCTCATACTGCCTGTGCTGCAGCACCTCATTTCACCCTCTGTCTGAGCCCAGTCTGCTCTGATTGGTTAGCCGGCCTGCTATGTTGTGATTGGTCAACCGCTTAGAGATGTCCCGCCCCTTAGCCTATCACGTACTGTGTGTTGGAGTGCTAGTCAATAGAAGCACGGGTGTAACATAGTGATGTCACTATATTACATTAGTATACAAAGGAGTCCAATCATATTGGCATGAGAACATTTAAAGTAGTATTGTGTCATGTTTATAAAAATGTGCACAAAATCTAGAAAACTCACGTCTCTCCCACGCGTCGGTAGTTGGACGGACAGTCAAAGGAAAGACATTTGAATTCTCCCTGTACATTAAAGCAGCTCTGATCCACCAGGCATGTGTGTGTTCCTGCTACACATTCATCAACATCTGGGAGCGAAAGAGACAATGGTAGAAACATGTGATTTCAATACATTAACAAAGATAACTTGTTAAAATTGACATATGCCTTCATTCGAAGAATAGCTTACCCTGGCAGCTGCGCCCATTGGTTGATAAGGTGTAGCCTTCGACAGGACAGGAACAGTGGAAGCTGCCAGGGGTGTTGTGACAGCGATAGGAGCAAATGTGACCTCCAGTAGGCAGTGCACACTCATCTATATCTAAATATGCAACAGAGGCAGATAAAACAAGTCAAACCAAAATGGAAATCTAAGAAATACACATTTTAACTGCTTGTAATTCATCTGTTTAATATATAAGGCAGTTTGCTATAGTGTATGCTAACACCAAGCTGACTTTTTTTTTTATATTCCAGTATTCCTCTAAGTAGCTGTTGAAATACTTTACCTTCACAAGTCAATCCGTCTATGTCACTGAGCTGGTAGCCACGGCGACAGTAACACTGGTAGGAGCCGTACACGTTGGCGCACTCTTGACTGCACGGGTTGCTGTCGCACTCATTCAAATCTATAGAGAAGAAATGATCACAGAGCATTTTTAACTCTATCGTACTGGTTTAACAAATAGCAAACCTCCTTTCAATATGTACTACATCAACATTTGCTTGCACAGTTTTCTGGTCTGACAAAGTACAATGGTGTCTTGTTGATTTCATACACTGAATATACTCTAGTTCTCAATCTCGGTAAATGTTCTTGTGAATCTGGATTATATCTTAAACCCAATTACAAGAGGGGCTCATGTGATTTATAAATACATCACAGAGTACTAGGCAGTGATGTTGCTGTTTTATGACAAATGACTACAGTAGAGGTCTCCAGGGAATATTAGGCCCATGTGAATATGGCTTTACAGTCCTGTCTCTGATCAGTTGTTTTAAAAAAAATATATTGGAATGTTATCAATTAACCAATTAAACCAAAACAACTCTAATCAAAGACAAAGGGTCTTCCAACTAGGAGCTGATTAGGGGTTTATGTTGTTCTAGTACAATAAACATACTGCGTATTGCATAACAAGTTGTAATTATAAATTCTTTATTTCTTACCATCACAATTCCTGCCATCAACAGAAAGCTTGAAGCCGGTGGTGCAGCTACACTTGTAGGAACCCAGAGCGTTCTCACACTTATGAGCACACAGGCGGCCAGGGTAGTGTCTGCATTCATTAATATCTAAAACACAGTCCACAGTAAGAAGTTCACGACACAACTTGACCATTAACCGTACAGTATGCATGTTTATTTATTCATTGAATACTGTTAGATTTGTGTAAGAACACCAAACATAGTCGACACGCTGCTTACCCTCACAAGTCCGACTGATGCTGTTGAAGATGTAGCCAGCCTCACACTCACAGCGGTAGGAGCCTATCAGGTTGACACACCCGTGACCTGTACAGACCTTATCAGGGTCCTTACACTCATCAATATCTGCAGTGAGGGACGCAAACAAGAAAGAAAACCATTTAATGCTTCTCAGATAGTTAGAAAATACTTTGTTATGTAGGAATGGTGAGTTTTTACGCCTTACCAACACAGCGGTTGCCCCCCTCATTGAGGTGGTACCCTCGACCGCAGTTAACGGAGTTCCTCTGGCAGATGTAGGAGCCAACTGTGTTGATACAGATCTGCCCTTGGTGGCATGGGCCTGTCTGACTGACACATTCATTTATATCTGAAACACAGAAACAGATGACATTGGTGCTGGTTCTAGACAAAGACCGGGAAGTCATGGAGACACAAATTCAGCCAGATCCTAAACATGAATTCACTTTCCTTCTTTGTTTATCTATCCTTCTAACTCTGCATTTCAATATATATGAAGCTTCTCCCTCTTGCCCTGCAGTTACCCTCTCAGACAACCAGCAGTATTTACTGGTCCATCTGCACTCTGTCTTTCATAGATTGTCTACTGTTCATTCATAAAATTGTTGGCATATTTGCTGAAATGTCACTATTTCCTGACAGTCATGCATGCAACAGATATGCGAGATTCCTGTGGCAAAGGAAAAACAACCAATCAGAACCCAGGAGTCTATAGCACAGTGTCTATCACTAATAGGTTTCTTATAACATTTTAGTCAATGCATTAACCGAATCATAAATGATAAAGGTTGCACAGTTTTTCAATTTGATGGGAGTTCGCTAGCAGTGGTTGAACTCCTCGATTCTTATGGTTGTTTTCGTTTGAGCATGGTGGAATCTTTGAAAATGCCATTAGAAGCACTTTTGGCAAGGGGGAAAGGAGCAGGATCTTTTCACAAATGTCTCATGGTGCTTACCGATGCAGGTGCCGAGGGCATCTTGGATAAAGCCGCCACCACACTTGACCTTAGGGGAACAACGAAATGACCCCTGGGTGTTTTGGCACTCAAACTCTGGGCCACAGTTATGGATGCCAGTCTCACACTCATCAATATCTGAAAAAAGGGAAAAGTGCTATTGAACACACTGATAATACCTGCTAAGATACACAGTAAGTTAGTAACGGAGGCAAACAGCACAGTTTGACTGACCTTTGCAATTGTTGTTGTCAGTGAGTTCATAGCCAGTCCCACAGCTGACCTCTCTCTGGCAACGGAAAGAGCCCTCAGTGTTGATACAGCGCTCGCCCCCCCGACAGTTGCTGGCTCCCAGCAAACACTCATTGATATCTGTGTTTGACAGCAGAGGTTCTCTTATTGTGTTGATCCTCCCAAGTCTTTTGTGCTCTTATTTTTGTCAAAATAATTGATACTTTTCTCAGTTGAAGACAATACCCACCCTCACAGCTCTTTCCATCTGGTTTGAGTTTGTACCCTTTAAAGCAGGTACAAGTGTGGTTGCCAACACAAGAATGAGCACATTTCCCTAAAAATGTAAAACAAACACGTTTATAATTGAGCGATGCATTTCTTTAGATTAAAAATCAGGAATGTGTAGGGAAGCTTGTTTATTGCCATAATATAACATACCCTCGCACTGATCACTTAAAACTGAATTATCTCCATTTTCATGGGTTTCATCCTTGTTAGGTACTGCATGAGAGAGAAAAAACATGATTATATATCCATCTATCATAAGAAGCAGCCCTAGGACATTCTCAAATAATGCTTTGTTTAGGGATGCAACTGAATAATTGTTAAGTCTATGACATTTTAGAAAAAAGAGAAAAATGTCCCATAAGTCCAAAGCAAAAAGGTATTCATATAACAATTCCACACAACAATAAAAGCCACAAACTGTTCCAAGTATAATCTTGGAGAAAAAAGTACAATGTGTTTTTGCTGGATTGCCCATGAGCAATACACTTGCAACTGCCTTAAAAGCAATGTCCACATACATCCAGCAGGGGGCAGTGTGAGCTCATTCTTATGCTCCTTCTCCAATATTTCCAGATATTTTATGTGTTCTACCATGATAGAAATTGCCTGCTTTGGTTAAAGAAACTTGTTTACATTTTTAAATGTTGCCTACTGTAGTTCTACTCATTTTATTTCACTAACATTCCGTTTTTTGTGTAGGTGTGGTCTGGTTATCTGCGGCTTCGTGTACACAGCATGCTCGGGACACCAAGCCACACTGGTAGCCCACCGACAGGGTGTGGTCACAGGGTAGACCCTTCTCCAGGGTCGCCTTCCCCAGGAGACAACAGTCGCAGCACATCTGCAGGACACAGAGTGGAATACAATAAAAAAACATTTATAATAGTAATAATAATAATAATAATAAAGCTTTATTTATATAGCACTTTTCATACAAACTCATGCAGCTCAAAGTGCTTTACAAAATGACACATCAAACAAGTAAAAAAACAACAACAAGAAATTCCCCTCAGATTATTTGTTAAGAACTTTAAAAGGAAGGCAGCAAAATATATCACATTGTATCAGGTTAATAGACACAAGGAGGTAAAATGTATGATAATAAAAATGTAATTAAATAAATAATGGTTTCTCTCTGAAAGATAAGACACAAGACAACTGAGTCGATGCAAAACTATAAAATATATCTAGGTTTAACATAATATAGGACAAAGAAAAAGAAAGGAGAGGAAAAACATTATGCCATAGAGTACTATCATCAGAGAAGAGAAACTGAAGGGAAAGAAAAAGGAGATTGTGGGATGATGATGGTTGTTAAAATACTGGAGTTAAATGAAACAGGTTTTTAGACTGACAAAAATAGGAGGATGTGTTCCAGACAGCCGAGCTCTCAATCAACCTGACAGACTAATATAAGGATGATTGAGATGAAGTCCCAAATGATAGGCTTCAGACAGACAGATGATAAGCAGTAAGTCAGACAGACAGACAGTCAGTCAGTCAGTCAGTCAGTCAGTCAGTCAGTCAGTCAGTCAGACAGACAGTCAGTCAGACAGACAGTCAGTCAGTCAGACAGTCAGTCAGTCAGTCAGACAGACAGTCAGTCAGACAGACAGTCAGTCAGTCAGACAGACAGACAGACAGACAGACAGACAGTCAGTCAGTCAGTCGGTCAGACAGACAGACAGACAGACAGACAGTCAGTCAGTCAGACAGACAGACAGACAGACAGCAAGACAGTCAGTCAGTCAGTCAGTCAGTCAGTCAGTCAGTCAGTCAGTCAGTCAGACAGACAGACAGACAGTCAGTCAGTCAGTCAGACAGACAGACAGACAGACAGTCAGTCAGTCAGTCAGTCAGACAGACAGACAGACAGTCAGTCAGTCAGACAGACAGACAGCAAGACAGACAGTGATGAGATGACATCATCCCCTCTGGCTGAAGTATGCTCAATC